ACTGTCAAATCTTATTGTATAGTACTCTTCAGATTTAGGCATATCATTGTATGCAGAGTTTAAAGAAGTAAAAAAGGTAAAGGCCCTCCCGTTGATTGTCGATTTGCTCGAGCGGGCCCAGTAACGTCTCCATTGGAGACTTTGTTGTTACTGTGTCTGGCATATCGAATACTCTCGGTAGCTTGCCGGGCTCTCCGAGAGGGGCGGAGGAATCGAACTTGGGTCGGCCATGTTGGTCGCTTGTAAGGCGAACGCCCTACCCGCTGTGCTATCGCTCCAGCCCGAGTTTAAAGAAAATAAAGTAAATAAATACTGAAATCTAATGATCACATGAATTCTGTGATGACCTCACAATTTGGGGGTGAAGATTATATAGCTGCAGGTTAGTTTGAAATGCATCAAAAAAGGGTGGCTCAACCGTTCGCAATAGCCAAAATCTGGAAAAAACCTGAGTGCCTGAGAATGGATGACTGGTTAAAGAAACTTTGGTACATCTATACAGTGGAGTACTATGCAGCTGTTAGAAAAGACGAAGTCATGAAATTTACATACAAGTGGTACTACATGGAAAGTGGCATGCTAAGTGAAATGAGTCAGAAAGAGAGAGACAGACATAGAAAGACTGCATTCATCTGGGGAATATAAAGTAGCAAAATAGAAGACTAATATTCAAGAATAGTCGAGATAAGTACCAGGAGGTTCACTCCATGACTTGAAGGCCAGCCACACATGCTAGGGGAAAGGGCAGCTCAGAGAAGGGAATACCAAGTAAAGGGTGTTGGGAGGATCCTCCCAGGATGGGAGATGCATGCTGAAAGTAGACTATAGACCAAACATTATTGCCACTCAATGCCTCTTTTGCAAACCTCAGCAACCAAAAGGAGAGAGAACAAAAGGGAATGCCCTGCCACAGAGGTGGGATGGGATGGGGGGGTTGGGAGGGTTACTGGGATCATTGGGGGTGGAGAATGGGCACTGGTGGAGGGATGGGTACCTGATCATTGTGTAACTGAAACCCAAGCACAAAAACTTGTAAGGTCAACAACTGTACCTCATGGTGTTTCACTAATAAAAAAAAAAGAGTGGCTCAATGATGAGTGATGGAGGTGCGTTAAAGTAAATACAGCAAACCACAAGAATCTAAATCAGTATTTCCCAAAGATCCAAGAGGGGTGATAGCACCAACTTTTTGTGGGGAGCACTTTCTGTTGCTCACCTAAAGAAATAAGATTGGGAAGGAACACTGAGTAAGTTTTTTTTCCCCTAAAAAGGGAGAGTGCTATTTGTTTGATGATGAGTGCATGAGTATTCATTGCATAATTTTTCAACTTTACCTGCTCAACCATTTTCACATTCTGAAATTAAAAATCTAATCATTACAGTGAAAGTACATTAATTCCAGTTTCTCTGCAGTATTCAGTGCAGTGTTTTTCATATTTAACCTACTACATGGAAAATGTTAGCCTCTTATTTCTGTTTTTCTTTCCTTTTTTTTGGGGGGTGGGGGCATACCTAGATATTCTCAGGGCTTACTTGTGGCTTTCTGTTCAAGGATCACTGCTGGTGAGGCTCAAGGGATCATAGGTGGGTACCTGGGTCAGTCACATGCAAGGAAAGTGCCTTACTCACTACACTATCTCTCAAGAGGGACCAGTTTCATAGCTTTAAAAGATAGCAACTGTGAATAACATTGTGTGAATTTATCAGTTAATTATTTTTTATATAATTTGGACAAATACATCTAAATCCAAGTGTTATGTAAATCTTTACATTTTTGGAGAGTGCAGGAGATAATGCAGTAAGGCACTTTCCTTACATGTGGCAGACCCAAGTTCAATCCCTGGCCCAGCACCCCATATGTTGATGCCAGCATCACCAGAAGTGATCCCTGAGCATAGAGCCAGGAATAATCTCTGATCACTTCCGGGTGTGGTTCCCAAAACAAAAGAAACCAAATTATTTTTAACAGCAGCTTCACACCTGCTGTTGTGTGCCTGAAAGAGGCAAATGTTCTCAAACTCATCTACTACATTAAAAGATATGCCAAGGCAAATCTTGAAAACCAGATGTTACCAAAGTAACTCTAAGCCCAAGGTCTCTCCCACCATAAAACACATAATTTGGTAAAGTCCTAGAAAACCTATGTAAAAATTACTCTAGGTTTAACCAATAAGATTCATTTTATGGTCTTTTTGGGGGTTTGAGGGTGGATTAGTGTTTGCAGGATTGCAGAGCCCAGAGCCAGCAGTACTTGAAGGATGAGAGAGAGATGATTCCAGGCGGTTCTACGGGAATTACCAGGGCAACAGAACCCTAAATCTTGCACATGCAAGTTATGTTCTCTACCAATGGTCTCTATGATCTTTTTATTTACATGATCTCTCTGAATGGAGGGGTTCTGCAAGACAGCTTAACCATAGCTCCAGTCATAACACCTTATTTGAAGTTCCAAAAGAAAAATCTAAGTTTTTAAAGCAGAGTTGGATGTTTTAGCGGTTAAGAAATACTTCGAAATTAGCTTTAGAGATTTTAGTTAATTATAAACAGGGAAGAAGTTTTAGAGTTAACAATCTTTTTTGGGAAACACATTACATTTTGTGTTCCTGCCAAAAAAAAAAAAACATCTTTTTTTTGGTGGCAGGAGTCAGTGGTGCTCAGAGGACTAGATGCGTATGCCGTGCTGATAATGCAAGCAAGTTCCATGCACGCAAAGCAAGTGCTTAACCCTTGTACAAGTTCTCCACCAGACATAACAAATCTTATTTCAGAGATACAAGTTAGTTCCCAAAGGGATTAGAAAAATAGCTCAGTATCTCAAAGCTCTTAAAGGCAGAAACTGAAACTAGAATCCTGAATGTTCAACTGCTTAAGCAGGGTACTTTCCCAAACCTTAGGACTATGACTACTCAATTCCAAAAGCTCATTTACTCAAGTTAAATCATGATACTATGTGATGGAGAACACTGCGAAGTAAGACGAGTCAGCTTTAAATATTCCATATGCTGAAACATCCAAAAGTCTTTTTCTTCTTAAAGATTTTTACAAGTGTTTGCTGGGCACTTGGATCACATCTGAAGATGCTGTTGTACTGATGTAACTCGAGGAGGAGCTCAAGATGGTGAAAACGAGGCAACTAATGGTGCAAAGCACCACACAAAACTTTGGCGAAATACGTTCGTTAAGTAATCAAGTCTGCTGAGCTTTTCTTCAAGAACATCACTTCAAGCCAGGAATGTAACCCAGTGAAAGAGAATATGCTTTGCATCTGTTGAGGCACGGAGTCCCCAAACTCCTCCTCGACCGACAAAACACCACCACTCTCCACAAAAGTTCACCAAAGCTTACTACAAACGTGCCAATGACACCCTAAAATCATCTTTCAGTATCGACTGTTAAAAAATACGTTTAAAAAAATTTAAATTTTTGGTGTGTGTGTGGGGGGGTACACCCGGTGGTGCTCAAGGCTTACTTCTGCCTCTGAGCTCTCAGGGCTCGCTCCTGGAAGGCCCTGAGGAGTCCTACGCGGTGCCGGGGACTGAGCCGGGGTCTCCCGCAAGAAGGCCAGCGCCCTATGCTCTGTCCTGCTTCTCTGGCCCCTAAGAATACATTCGTAAGCTCACGGTTTAATTCATTTTAAACTTCATTTCCAGCAGCCCGCTTATAGTTGCGTCGGGACGAGTAAGTTTCACTGCAACTTGGCAAAACTCCCGCTCCCAGTTCTTTCATTCATCCGTTAATAATTAGCCCCAGCCCTTGGGCGCTTGCGGAACTGAAAGATCAGCCTTCTCCTTAAGCGTCCCGTTTTCCCTTCAGGTTTAGGGGTTCACTGGGCAGCAGCAGCCCAGCAGCGCCAGACTGAAGCGCCCCTTCCAGTCGGCAAACGTTCTTCCACGTGCAAACAGCAGTCATTCTACCCAGACCCCGGGTCGGGCAGGTCGACCCGCCCGCCTTCACTTGCCCCGTCCCGCCAACGCTCAGCTTCAGGCAGGAGGGGTCGCGCCGGGCGAGGGGCGGAGGGCGAGGGGCGGCTACGGGACTGCTCCGCTCCCTCGGCGGCCGCCGCGCGCGCACGGCTCGGCTCGGCTCGGCGCGGCGCGAGCCCTCGGCGGCCCCCGCGGCGGTTGCTCGCGGGCGGGCGGCCGGCCGGCGCCGGTCGGGTCGTGCCCCCGCCCTCCTCGCGGAGCGCTCGCTCCCCGCGGCCAAGCCCGCGCCCCCGTGACCTCCAGCCGCTCGGGAAAGGAGCCCGGAGCGGCCCCCTCCTGCCACGACGGGCTCGCGTCCCCTGCCGCCCCCGAGGCGGGAGCACGTCCGGGGACGGGAAGAGGAACCAGCCCGCGCCGAGAGGAAAAGCCCGTCACCTGGAACTCGGCGAACTCCTCACAGTTCACACCGCCACTGGGCGCCGCCATATTGGACGAGCGCGAGGTCCCCGGCGCGAGCCAATCGGCGCGGAGCGAGGTGCCCGCCGCGCCGCCTGTCAGAACAGGCCGCGCGGGCGTCCGGGCGGGCAGCTGCGCCGCGGCGGCCCCTGCCTCCCTCGGGCCGCCCGCGCACGCCGCCGAGCATCCTAGGGTGGCGGGAGGCCGGGCGCGCCGGGGTCCAGGGTCGCCCCTTTGTTCTTTCAGGACTCTGGGCAGGACGGGGGCGGGAGGGGGCGGTCTGGGGAGGCGAGGGGTGTGGCCGCGAAGCCTCGGGCGCCAGGCCGGACGCTGCCCCGTCCAGCGTGCAGGGCACCTCCCCCAGGCACGCTGTGGCTGCCGCAGCAGGCCGCTCTCGGGCAGCGCGAGCTCAGGCGCCCGTGGGACGCCAGCTCCACCGCGAGGAAACGCTTAGCTCCCACGGGCGCAACGACGGCCGGCCCGAGCGCGGGAGGCCCGCGGCCACGCCGGGCGCGTCCCTCACGTCCCTCACGCGCCACACGCCGGGTCCGCCCGCCCGTCCCGGACGCGCCCCGGCTCGCCGCGCCCCGCCCCGCGTCCCCCAGGCCCCGCCCCGCGGCGCCGGCCCTCGCGCTCCGGGGCTCTCGGTGACATTGAACGCTCGGGCCGCGTCGTCACCCCGGACGCGCCGTGCGGGCCTGCGAGTCGGCGGCCATGGGGAGCGTCCGCGGCCTGCGCCTGCTGGCGGGTGAGCGTCGCGCCGGGCCGGGCCGGGCGGGCGGGAGCGGGAGCCGCGGCCGCGCGTGCGGGGGTCCCAGGCCCCGTGCACCCCGAGAGTCGCTCGCAGCCCTGCCCCGTCGCGGGTGGCGGGGCGGAGGGCGCGAGTCGATGCCCGCTGGCTCTGCAGACTTGGGGGCCGGCTCCGAGTTTCCCGCCGCCCAGCTCCCACCGACTTAGCGAGCTTCTGCTCCCCGTTTTCCGCCCCCACCCCTAATTCCCCTGAGTGTTCTCAGAACGCTTGCCACCCCGAGTTTTTCCAGTCTACCCTCTCCTTTTCATTCATACTTGAGTCCTAAGCCTCGTCTTTCTCCAGCTCCCAAATTTCCTTTTATTCCTGCATTCAGAGGGAAAAAAAAATTAGTGTTTCTACCCATGTCTGATTAGAGAACAGGCTTAGTTTCACAGAGCAATTGTGATTATTTTCTTAAAATTGTTGGGAACCCATGAGGGGACTTTTAAACAATTTTAAGCAATTTAAATTTCGTGGAGTTGTGTGTTGTGCACTTAGTTTTCTAGGAGAAATTTTTGTAATGTGTATTTGAAATCAGTTTAATTGACTTTTTAAAGGAACAAGTAGAGTCTTGACATAAAAGAGCCGAGAAACCCTCAAATGCTGAGAAAATATTGCTTTTAGCCTTTTGGCACCAGGTAAAATCATGCGTATTGATTACCTTATGAGCTTTAAATAGATATAAAGATTGATCTTTTGTTTCATGATGCCTGTTAACAAGAGTTCTTAAATTAGAAATTTAGAGAAAAAAAATAGCCCCAAACTTAACTCTTGTAACAATTTTAAATTGCAAATGAAGTAATGTAAGCCTCCTAAAAGTTATTCTTTCCATGGCTTATTTTTTGTTCCAGTGGAGAATGAACTTGAAAACATCACAAACTGACATTATCTACATCTTTTTAAACAAGCACCCTCTCCACTAAAAGAGATGGATGTAATTGATCTGTTCGGCTTTAACTTTAATTTGCATAAAGTGTTTTCTAAACATTGTTACTTGTTATAAAGCTTTTTAGCAAGGTAAGTGAATCATTGCTCTGTATAAAAACTAAAATGGAGCCTTTATCAGTTTAATAATTGATAAGGTATTCTGTGTATAATTTCAAATAGCCAAAATTCTTTAATGGTTCTTTCCATTTATTTGTGTTATTGGAAACCTTTGCTGAGGCCTGAGAGATAGTACAGAGGGTAGGACTCTTGCCTTGCACACTGCTGACCCGGGTTCGATCCCAGGAACCTTATATGGTCCTCTGAACCTGCCAGGAATGTTCCCCAAGCACAGAGCCAGCCCTAAGTCCTGAGCACCACCTGGTGTGCACCTCCCCCCCACCCCCCAAATACAACAAAAGAAATCTTTGCTATGTTTCCTTAGCAAACAAAATACTTTTATATATTTGAACTTGTTTGTTTTACAGTTAATAATGGTTGTTGAACCCCTCCCTAGGTAATACTGGGAGAGTCTGTACTTGGATCCATGACTCAGATAAATCTCTTCTCTTTTGAATATCTCTAACAGAGATGGTTTGGAACTAAAGGACATCCTGAACTCCATGAGGGTAGAACTGGGTCACTTTTGGTTTTACTTAATGGAAGTAGAAAGTAGAATAGACTAAATAAACCTTTCAGTTATAGTTTCCACAGAATAGTGATTAGATCAAAGGAAAGGAACCGCCATCAAGCACATATGTTATACTCTGACTTATTGGCCGGTTTAAAAATAAATTTATTGTCTTTATTACGGCAGTGCAGTGGATCATTGGGCATTATCTTTTATTTAATCCATCCCACAACATCAGAATCAAGAAATCGAAGTCACGTTGTCCAGTTACCTTAATTTGACATATAAGGAAATCTAAGGTCCAGGAAGGCAATTGATTCCTAGGGTCACAGATAGACAGAGCTGAAACACAACTGTAGGCTCGCATTCAGATTTTATTTCTGTTGCATTTTGCTTCTTCATGGGTCTTCTTGTTCTCATGTTAACCAACACTGAAAGAGCACAAGCCCAGTTTTACTGCTCCAATCTTTGGCTTTGCTTATCACTCCTTCGGGTCTGGTCAGTGTGTTTTTATTAGGTATATTGAGTGCTCTGTACCTTGTGAAAGTTCAAAAGTTAGTGGATTATCAGTCTTTTTAGGACCGGAACTTTGTGGGGGTTTCATTTTATTTGTTGTTTTAACATTTTCTTCACTCTAGAACCAGTTGTGCGCAGGGCTTACTCCTGGCTCTGCACTTAGGGATCACTAGGATTCACGCTTACTGCATTGGATAAGCATACTTGGATACTATTTCTGAGCACTTATCCAAGGCATTCTATAATCTTGTAGATTACAGATTTTTCAGTGCTGCCACATGGTGTCCTGGAGCCAATTCCTACTGATTTTGTGGCAATCTCTTCCCAACTTCATGACTAGCGATGGTACATTGGTAGCTTGAAATCAGCCATGGTGGAAGTTACTGACTCTTCTTCCCATCAACTCCACCCCTTCCCCCAGACCTCTCCTGAGAGCCCGCATACCTCTGGCTTTAAGAATTCAGAAAACAGGGGCTGGAGCGATAGCACAGCGGGTTGGGCGTTTGCCTTGCACGCGGCCGACCCGGGTTCAATTCCCAGCATCCCATATGGTCCCCCAAGCACTGCTAGGAGTAATTCCTGAGTGCATGAGCCAGGAGTAACCCCTGAGCATCGCTGGGTGTGACCCAAAAAGTGGGGGGGGGATTCAAAAAAGGGTTTGAGGATCTGACTCAGATAGCAAGTAGTTGAGCACATGTCTCACATATGTGAGGCCTTGAGTTTGATCCCTCACAAGAACAGATATAGCCCTAGTAGCCCAATATTGTGTTGCCTGGCCCTAGCATTGCACTGTTAGATGGGCATAGCTGAGCCATGTATCTTCAGTCCTGGCATTGGGGGCCCTGAACACTGCTGGGGACTTTACCCGTTCCCCCCCTTCCCCAACCCCCGCAAAGTTCCCAGAATAAAGAAAAGTAGTATAGATTAGGAATGCTTATTGAAGATTCCTGAAAGAGGCAGGGAGAGCAAAGTAGGAGCCATGAGTCTTATGGGGTTGTGCAGGAAGAAAGGGCAGCACAGAGAGGAGGATGTTCAGTCTCATGGATTTGAACACAAAGGAAGCCTTCAAATGGGAATCATTAAAGAGACATTTCAGAAAATTGTTGTTACTGTTGCTCCCTGTGAAGATACTATTGTCATCCATGTGGGAAGTGATTGGGGAAATGACCAGAAAGGAATATTCTCGGAAGTGTGTTGGAGAAATTATTAGTATGTTCTACAACGGTTATTTTAAGGAAGGGCATAAAGATTGAACCTTGTGAGCAGGAAGGACTGGAGGAGTGTGCCTCTGCTGCCGGAGAGCGTGGGGAAGGAGTACTGGTGTGCCAAGAGGCTGGTGATTATTAAAATGTAAGTAGAGTTGGAATTAGAGGTAAGGGTGGAATCTCAGTCAAAGACTGGAGACGAGGCTGGGGTCGAATTCAGGAAAGACAGAGAAGCCCGGTGTATGGAACTTAGAAAGCAGAATGGAGTGGGCAGTGGGTAGCTCAGTGGCTTAGAGTGGCTGCCCGGCAAGCATGGGGTCATGTGTTTGTCCCCAAGTCCTGCCCTGGCAGCTCTCCTATCTGTAATTACTGGTGCTGCATGCCATCTGACCCTACCCCAGCCTGGTGTGTATGAGCGCCACAGCTACTGGATGTGACGTGTTCCCTCCATTCCCCTCGTGATCACCACAACTAAAAGATAGATGAGCACCACGGCCAGGAAGTGCAGCTGCTGGAGAACATGTGTGTGAGCGTCACTATACGCCCAGGCAAACACTGCAACCACATAATGAGCCCCAGCACGTGAGCCCTTGGCATACTGTGCGGAGCCCCCCGGCCAGGCATGTGTTCCACACTTTATTTCACTGCAGCAACAGTGAGTGGAAGGAAAAAGCGGTGGGGACAGAATACAAGGGTCCTTTTGAGGGTGGTGTCAGATAAGCAAAACTGACCTTTGAATGCCTGGCAGTGAGTAGTAAGGAAGGATAAGAAAGACATTAAAGGACGTAGGTGAAGGGTAAATGTGGTGACTTCGTGTGAGAAAGAACTGGGTCCTTGCAGAAGGATGAGCTGGGTGGAGTCCAATGAACAATGGTTGAGAATCTAAAAATAGGTTTATATGACATGCTTACTAATGTTAGTGAAATTGTAAACATTGGTAGGGGAAGAAATGTAAAATGTGAGGTGAAGGTAATGGATAGATGCTGGTTGAGTCATTTGCACTTTGGAAGGCCTTTATTTATTTAATAAAGCTGCTTTATTGAGAGGCTCTGTTAAGAGCGAGTGCATGTTGTGTGCAGATACGGTCTTCTCAGTGCCACTGGTGGAAATGTAAATTGATCTGGCCTTCCTGGAAAGCAGTTTGTAATATATATTAAGAATCTTAAAGTGATTGTTTCTTCTAGACCTCACACCCTTTTGTTGTTCACTACTAGAATTTATAAACGTAATCAGAAGTGCCATCAAAGATGTAGAGAGCTATTCTTACGAACTATTTTTTTAGTTTTTTTATTATTAGAAATTATTTTTTTATTGAATCACTGTGACCCTTACAAAGCTATTCATGATTAAGTTTCGGTCATGCATCGTTCCAACACCCACATCTCCACTAGTGTACATTTCCTAGCACCAGTGTCCCCAGTTTCCCTCCCATCACTCCCCACCCCAAACTATTTTTAACATTAAAAAAATGGGAATAGGTCATAGGGAATTATTGAATTCTGATGATAATCTATGTGGTACCACGTAGTGTTGTATACCATTATAATTAATATTTTATGAATGTGTTTGTTACATGAGCAAGATGTATTATTATGAAAAATATGTATATTGTATATAAGCATAAAAAGGTGGAAGAAATAGTGCTCCTGGGTGGTGTGGTTATTATGGGCAGTTTTGTTTTA